CGTCTCAGGCGTCTCAGGCGTCTCAGGCGTCTCAGGCGCCTCAAGCGTCACAATCGCTGCAAAACGTACTTTAGAGAGACTTTGAGACTTTGAGGCTTTGAGGCTTCGAGGTTTCTTGTGGCTGAGAAGCTTTGAGGCTTTGAAGCTTCAAGGTTTTGAGGGTGCTTGAGAAGCTTCGGGGCTTTGAGGCTCCAGGCTCCCCCGACCCCTGCTGCCCATGCCCTCCAGAATGTTTCGTAAGGAATCCATACATAGAAAAAATTAGAAGAACGGGAGCCTAAGATCTAAAAAGTCGCGTTTACATCTGTAACACATCATTTGTGCCAACATGAAAGCATGGGTCCACAAGAGTCCCATCCCCAGATGTTCCTTTATTGTACAGCCTGCTAGCGGCTGATAGCATGCGGGGGTTGATCCTCTCCTTTGACACTTGAATGATACCCTCAAATCATTGTTGTTTCAATGATTGGTATGATTGTAATTGTTGTAACTGCTATCCTATATAACCCCTACATAAACCCGATTAAAGCCCCTAGCACATTGTTAGTACAGGTACTTGCAGCATTATGGTAACTTGAACCCTAAATCCTATATTCTATATACACTATATACCCTTTACATATACATATATATATACCCTATATACCTTATAATATATATGTATATATACACCCTATAAAGTTCCTGAAGCTATTGCTATCCCAGGATGGCCGAGCCACAGCTCCAGAGCTCGCCGCGCTGCGCGTTGCGCAGAAGAAGGCATTGGTCTTTGCGTGAATCAGATGGGGGTTTCCCAAAATAAGCGGTACCTTTAACGGGGGTTGATAAGGTTGTATAGGGATGATGGAAAAGAAAATGGATACTATTATTTATGGTTTTGGGATTAAGGTTTCCAAAAAAGTAAGGGTACCTTTCCGGGGGTCCCCATAATAAGGATTGTAACATTTACGGGTCTATATTGGGGTCCCCCTATTTAGGGAAACTACCCGATGAGCTATAGTCTAAACTCCTTGGGGTTTATATAGAGAACTATATAGGGTTGGTACTATGGGGCTTATTCAGGGAGATATTAGGAGTTTAGACTATGGCTCAGATGGAGGGTATGTTCAAGTTGTTCAGTGTTCCCGTTCCGAGGCTTTTAAGAACATCTCGGAGTAGGAAGTGGATCCAACTTTGGGAATGTGGCAGCAGAACCAAAGGTTTATTTGGCGCAGGGTCTGCGGAGTCTTGGTAAGGGGGATAAATCCCAGGCATTCACAGGTGTTGACTTTGCAGGTCCAGTTGTCTGCAGAGGTTGTGCATTCCGCTAGAAGGCGCTGAATGGCATGCAAATTGTATGATTGGATGCATGGTTTTGTTGGATTTCACTGTTGACGAGTCAGATTGACACCCCCCACAAGCATGAATACAGGCCCATGAGCCAAGCCCATGGAAGGTATCGAGGAAGGCCCGTCTTGAAAACGTCAGACATGGTAGTTTCCCTAAGTAGGGATACCCCAACCATATTCTTTATGATAGGAACCCCAAAAGATACCCTCCAATTTCGGAAAATCCCCACATGAGGGCCTCGGGCATGACCAGGTCCTGACCGAGCACCAACATACTTTGAGTGAGCTTTGGGAGGTCTTAGGTGCAGCCATCATCGAATGTACTTAGGCGCACACCAAAGGATGTCCTACTTCAGGTAGATTCTGTGCCGACCCCTTCATGTAGGGGGACTTGATTGTGATGGGACGGAATGTTCCGACTGGTACGCCTGTGGGTTCAAAGGAAAACAAAAGCATCCCCGCCTCGAAATGCGCTCAGGCCAAAGGGTTCTCACCTCTCCGCACTTCTTGCTCCAGGTCATCATCCTTTCATCATATTCTGGGCTGGGTCCATCTCCTACGCAATCCTCGGCGAAACCCTAGTTGCGCGCAACCTGTTGCGCAGGGCGCCCAAGAGCTCTATGCGCTCCAGGTGGCAGGCTTGATGCCCGGCATCCAGGGTGAACAAGGAGCTGTGTTGAGAGAAGTTTACAATGCACGCGAGTTTGGAAGGTCCATTTTCTGGCTCCGTGCACAGGGAAGGATTTTCAATTTGAATTACATTCGAGGTGTTTTACGAAACTGTCCTGCTCTGGTTTTGCAACTTGCCTCAAGAGCTCTAATCTTGATCACCCGTGGTCAACCTACCTCCCTGTGCTAGTCTTAACGGTTCTGCTTTTATGTGAAGTGTACGGTGACCATACATGTGTGCTTTCAGTATCAGAGGTAGGACACATTACGGGGCCTCCATCGCGACACGCATTGACCTTCCGACGGGTACTACATATCTGCCTTTGGATTCTGTGCCCTCTACAACAGGGTGCCGTGTAAAGCTGATGAGTTCACTTGGTGAGACTTACCCGAAGTGTGGAGTCTGTTGTCTTTCTTCGGTCAGGCAAAAAAGGTAAAGCGTGCCATCTTGCTTTTACTCGAGCCTTGCATGTCCAGTTGCGCTAGAGCGAGGAATCTTTTGCTCGTGGCACTTGGTCGCATCCTGTTGCAAAACTGTTATTTCTTGTTTTTCTGTCGCCACCGCACTGCAGCATCCCATCCATGCGGTTGCAGACGATCTTCATGTGGTCAAGAGACAACAGTTTGACTTCGTTTCCTGATGACCCCTGAAGCTGCTGAAGCCTGAAGGCTGTGAGGCTTTGCGGCCTTTGCCAGTCGCGGCGGCTCCAACCTTCCCCCAGGTAGCACTGGAGGATTGCGCTGGCAAGTGAGCCCGGGGGCTTCTTAAGTTGCAGATATTCTTTGGGGAAGGCAAATGTTTCTACCATTTCTGTTTGCTCGAAGATTCTGATCTCAGATCCCATACTTCATGCCAGGAATGGCAAGTTTTGGTGGAATCGCAGAGCGGTGAGTATTGGAAGTGACCTCAGGTGACGCACTATTTAAGCCACAATTTCGAGTCTGCACAGTCCTGACAGCTCAAGTAAAGCGTTAGCTCAGCCCCGCTGTGTTGGAGCCTCGCTCGGACAAGCGGCTGCAACCATCGACTGGCAATGCTCGTGTGTGAAGTTCAGCCTGGAAAGGTACGCAACTTTGCGCAAGGGCTTGCTGAAGGAGTGCACCCAAGCGCGGATCTCGAAGCTGCTGCGCCGCAAAAGTTGAGGAATCAGGTCTAGAAAGTTGAAAGTGAAACGGCATTTACGATTGGGTAGCAGGTTGCATATGCGATGACTAGTGAATGGTTTCTGTATTCGACTTTTGTCGGGTGGACTTCTTGATTGGTTTCTCGCTGTCTGCACAGACAATCAAATGTTAAAGTGTGCCAGCATGCAGATCCATTGACTGTGTGTAGAGGCCTACAAGCATAGGGTAAGGGTGAGTTCAACATCCTGTAATAAAGGAATGTAACTGTTACAGGAGTCTGACAGTGGCAGCCGACATTACCTGGCCGCATGGCCTCCACTTAGAGCTTCCAATGCAGTACCTGTTCGGGGTCAGCAGGAGTAAACTTCCAGACTCCAATGCGTCAGTCCACAAGCACACACCATGCTGTCAGCAGTTTCATGCTCCAATGATTTTGTGGTTCCCTTTGCCCTGACCTTTTCTTAGCCAGGGCTGGGTTTGGGGAGCAAAGCCAGCGGTATTTGCTATATGTCCAGTTAGAGGCTGCTGTTCAGACAATCAATCCTTCTGCAATTCTCAGGGGTGTTCTGAAAATGTGAGCGGAACAACGCCATGGAGCCGTATGCATCACAAGACCCAAGGTAACCTATAGCTTGCGGTTTCTAGGGCCACCCGCAAAGTCTGCGATGTCTTTTTCGAGAGGCTCGCAGGCAGGCTTTAAATCCGTGGTGCAGCTGAAATGGATGGTTGGCAGTGTCAGAGGATTGAAATTTAGCAATCACCCTCCAAAGCACAAGAAGTTTGACAAGGGATCCGACTGACGACCAACCCTACAGACACGTTGACACAATTTCCCTCAGCTTGAGACAATGCATTGCCTAGAGAGCCTCTGTCACCCTGGTTCAGAAGCTCGAGGCTTCCACAAGCGCTGGCTGAGCTGGAGGACAGCTTGCAGACAACATTATCGCCATAGAAACATTTCTACGAAGATGGCCAGAACGTTTGGTTTGCACCCTCATGATTGGCGGACATGTTTCGACGTGCAGCGCTAGGAATTTGCTGAAGGTTTCATATCCTGGGATTTGCGGAAGGAATTGCACTCAAGAGGCGCCTCTGGACTTCGAGCTTTGGAAGGCATGCTCATGTAGCCTTGCCCAATCACCTGAAAGGGCCAGTGCCAACTGACATTGCAACAGTGGCTCCAAAGGTAAGGCTGCCCAGCCAATGCGCGCTTCCCTTACGCGGGAACGTCTGATTTGACCAAAGGCAGCCAGCGGCGTAAAACCGCAGGCCAATACGACTCTGCAGACTTTGGTAATGCATTCGGTAGGGATGACGGTAGGGATGTGAGATGTGGCCAGGCCTCCTCTAAAACTCCACGCGGTATTTTATTGGTTCTTGCACTCCTGCTTCCGCATGTTTCCAGGCAGGTCAACCACCTGAGGATGTAGAAAACGTGCTGAAGGAAACATTAAAGAGCTGCCCCATTTCTAGCTGGAAGGGGCAGTTGATTGGAAGAAACTTCCGCCCATACAACCTTCCCTTGAGCCCCTGAAAATCCCAGATACTTTATGGAACCCCTACAACCCCTTGAACGGGATTGCAATGGTTTGGAAACCCCGTTTCCTTTTCGGCATGCTTCTTCTTCTTCTGCGCTTCCACTGGTGTCGAAAGGTGGCCAGCTGTTCAGCAGGGAATTTGGTTTTTACAGGCTGGTAAAGAAAATCAAAGCTACACTAGGTTTAGCGTTAAGTTGTCAGGATTTGAAACTTTGGGGGCGGGAGTCCCCAAAAAAAAATAAAGTGTGTTGGGCTTTCTTTAGGCCCCGCACCAGTCGGGCCTCCTCACAGATCAGCTCGTTGACTGCTTTTGTGTCATCTCCTACTTTCTTTTCGATGTTTTTCTCAAATTATTGCCTCTTTTGAGCCATGCTGGCAAGCTTGAGTTCAGATCCCTCAAGCTCAGATGAGGAAAACTGTGAGCCCGGTGCCCCACCGCCCTATGAATCCACAACGTGCAAAGAAGTACTAAGGTCTGGGTCCCAAATTCTTGAATTGAAAAAATGCAGCTGCTGGAATTCCTAGAGCTGCAAAGCTCATAAACCCCCAGTCTGAATCGAAATCTCCAAGGCTGAAAGCCTAAAAGCCAAAAGACCCGAACCGTAGAAACAGGCTCTACATGCTGCCATCCCAAAGTCCCACAAGGTTCCCTGGGTTCCCTGGACCCTCAACTCAACGATCCATCATCACTAGGCGCCTTCGAAGCCCTCAGCAACCAAAACATGTGAACATAGGACCATGCATCCTCTATCCTCCGTCTCCTCCAAGCATCTATGCAAGCGCCCCGCAAATTCGGGGTTTGCATGCATGGCTGCCATGTCTTGTGATTGTGAGTCCTCTCCCATTTTCATAATTCTGTGTCCACACAGCATCAGGTTTGGAGAGGGCCTCAGGCCTCCTGAGGCTATCAGATCTTAGGCTGCTTCCTTGTGCTGCTGTTTAGTGTCCCTGCTCACGTCGCAGTAGTTTGAGTTTCTGCCATAAGCCTGGAAACCATGCCTTGAAATCACGATTTTGTCAGGGCAGGTTGAGGCTCGGTCAGCCATGAAGTGACTTTTTCCGGAGCCGCAACCTTTAGTATGCAACGTGCTGCATCGTACTCGAGAAAGAGGAGCATGCTACATCAAGCTAGAAGGCACGAGTATCTGGGCTCAAGGTGCTTACAAAACGCTTGAGGTATCCTGCCGGCAAGACACGAGGGGCTTCATGTAGACGTTCAGGGCCACCAGGATGCTTTAGAGCCATGCTGTTCATCATTGGGACTATCTCACACTTGCATGGCTTAGAGAATTAGATGTAGTTGGTTGATGACTTGCAGCGCTCACCGTCTCAAAGTTTCATGCGCCGCCTCTCTTGAATGGTAGTGTAGACGCTGCTTGTGTGGCCTGGGGAATGCCCTACCCAAAGGAAGGGTTATTGTTCACCATGAGCTGCACAACCTCTAAGTTAAAGTTCAACATGCTGGCATCGGGACTGCAGACTGCCAATTCGGATATGTTGGAACGTTGTCGGTCCAGCATGCCTACTTACTGAAGCCTCATCATCTCGTTAATTGCAATTGTCCCATTGGCAATTGTCCTGTAGACTGTTGACACGTTGGTACTGAAGCACATGCCTGCAAGTCCCGATTGCGGCATGCGGGGGAGGCCAAAGTGAGCCTCAGAGCCAACCTGTAACAATTCGTTCTTTGACAGACCCTGATCTCTACTAGCCACCGCGTCGAAGCCTTGCCAGTACAGGATCTCCAAACAAGTTGTGTCTCTCCCACATGCTTCAAAGGAGTCTAAGGTAGGGTTCGTTCCAACCGTATGCAACCTGGACAATTTTGTCAGAGGCATTATTGCTCAGTCAAACATCTTGCACCTTGAAGGGACCCTGCGTCGGACATGGAAGTGCCCTGTTCTTCATATATTGGCTGCTAGGCAGCTAGTGCAAGGAAGCCGTGTCACGAAAAGGCCCCGCACGGAAGCGATGAGTAGCACGAAAACAGCAATACAAATGCCAGAGCATTGTAGCTTGTTGAACACACACATTCCAACTAGCGCGTGCTGCAGACTACAGAGCTCAGAATGCACAATCATGTGCAAGGATGGCTCCAGCAATTTGCAGCTGCAGGGCCCTCGGTGCAATCAGCTTTGGATCAGGTAGATTTGGCTGCAAAGGTCCATTGAAGTTATGGCCTTGCAGGCAAGTGCAGTCATGGGATCTTGTTTTCGTTGGCAGTCATATCAGCCCATATTGGGACCCTGCCAATTTTCAGCATCGCATGAAGGGAAGAAAGAGTGGGGACAAATGCTGGAGAGTGAAGTTTCACGCCATGGAATCTTGCCTGTGGTGTTTGTTTGACCAAGAACCACAGGGACTTCATGCTGAAGCATACTGAGAGTAGTTCCACAACCACTCACCTTGACGGTTTTGCGTGGAAGCATTGAAAGCTACGTTTACATTCAGAGCTTGCACCAACACCGGAACAAATGCCTAAAACCCGTCAAAGTATGGATCATGGGAAGAAGACGTCGAGGCTTCAGCTGAAGCTGGCAGAGATCAGGGCCGAATGGTATGCGCTGAACAGTGAACCTGTCAAGCCCTTGGAAGAGCTCAGTTGCAGTACATTTTGCCATGGATAGCTGTCACGGCACCATTGCCGCACGAACGGGCTTATTTCCAAGACGAACTTGCACGTGGCCCAGACTCGCTGCTCAGGTTATGACCGTTTCAATGGCTTAGGCATGCTTGTCATGCTGGCGCAGATGGTCAAAGTCAAAACAATATGTGCAGCGTCGGTGACGGTAGCAATATCTACGGCCAAAAGGCGTTGATTGGGGCCATTGGTGGCAGAGATCGATTGTTCAGGGAGGGTCTTTCTTTTGGGCAACCTCTTTTTTGGGGTCTGGCGGGGAGCGTCTTGCTGATCTTCCAGCTTCTCTAGCCCGAGCTTGGTGGCTTCTTTGCTTTTGGCGTCTCGGAGATGCTTTTTTGCATGCGTTTTTGGCGTTCGAAAGTGTTGCAGAATTTTCGCATCCCGGAAGAGAACACAAGCAAGGTCAGCGTCATGCAACCACGAAGATTACTGCGGCATCCTTGCACGTGCCCGAACCCAAGCTCACGTGATGCATCTTCGCATTTTGCCTATTTGAAACGAGCTCTCGCGTGTAGTGGGCCACCAATCCGCCGCTCTTGTCGTCTTAAAACGAAACAGACTGCTTGGGAACGTGGCTAGTCTGAGCAAAGAGCTACATGTCATCCATGCTTTTGCAGACGTGGGGGGGGGGCTGTCTCACCTTTGGCTTTGAATTGGAGCTCTCGTGAGGAACAGCCACACATTTTGCTTCGAAATCGAGCCCCGGCAGCTGAAAATGGTAGCCACACCAGGAGAATCATAGAATAGCCCCAAGGTTTCTCCGGAACACAGTATGTCAGCATTTGGCAAACCAAAACCCAAAAAAAAGGCAAGATTGGGGGAAGAACATTGCCTGTAGAAGCATTCACCAAGGAATTTCATGTCCAACCTGCAAATAGCTGCTTTCCATAGCACTAGCGGAATTTCCAAGGGACTTCCCCCGAAGTATTTGTTCCATTTCTAAATGACCAGATCTTCAACCACGGAAAGACACAGAAATGCTGTCCAAGCCTTTGGACTCACACCTCAAATCATACTGGATGACATGCTTGGATCCCTTCGTCATGACAAGCATGTCCGCAACACCAAGAAATGGCTCGTTGGAATCATGTATGGCCAAGTCTTTCATGATCCGGTCATTTTTGCATTAGAAACCTAGACCAGTCTGAAAGGCAAGTATCGAATCCAGATGGCCATGCAGGAAGATCCAAATAGCGGACAATGGTTCAGGGCTACACCCAGGGTTTACAATGCAATCGAGTGAAGACCATTCATTTCATGGCATTCGGAGCGCGGTCAGGAAACAAACGCAAGTCGAAGGCACCTGAGCTCCTCAACAAACTACAGAAAACGGACCTTGTCAGTGCCAGTGGCAAACACTGCAAACCGCAAAGCCGTATCATCAGCGATTTGTGACCCAAAGTTCTTTTCAAAGGATCCTCGCAACCACCAGCATTAAACGTTAGATAGGGCGCTTGGATGAGCCAGGCCACTTGACCCAACAGACGGTTAGTATGTAGCGCATGTGACCAGCGTAAACGCACTCGAATCAATGTTCGAGAGTGGCTTTGCGTCAGGAACCATCCTGAATGAGGTGAACAAAGTGCGAAACGTATTTGTTGGGCCCCATTTTGGGGGGCCCTTTGTTTTTCTGGGGCTAGGGCCAGTTTCCGTGTGTGAAAGCCAGGAAGGAACGACGAAAGACTTGGTGTGCAGCAGGAGAGCAGTGAAGAGAGATAGAAAGAAGCCAAGAAAGCAAGAAGGAAATCACAACAGAAAAATCTTCTTGTTGCAAGATGTTTAAACACTTGTCAGCATTGTTCATCATGTTTCACTCCGTCCTCGAGTTGCACAATTTTATAATTCCCCACATTCATTGCGGGGTTCTAATTGTTTAGATGTGCCGTCGCCCGGCACCCACAGCGTGCTCTTCCGTCGCGCAAACATTTTGGACGCGCTCATGTTGACTTAAAAATCGTGCTCTCGCTCGAGACATCCTCAAAAGAACGGCGTTTTTTTTGAAAATGGAATTTCAAAAATACGAGACATCGCCTTTAAAGTAGTCTTGCTAGGGGGGTCTGGTGTGGTTTGGTCGCGGTGCTGATTTTTGAAAATCGCGCTCTCGCTCAAGACATCCTCAAAATTTTGCGTTTTTCGGAGTTTATGAACTATCAAAAATTGCGCTCCCGCGCGAGACAATTTGAACATTTTGAGCCTCTGAACATCTTCATTTCTTGTAAAATCGCGCTCTCGCTCGAGACATCATGAAACAAACGACGTTTTAATATCGATGATGGAGCCCACAGAGAGGCGAGATCGCCTTTAAAGTAGTCTGGCTAGGGGGGGTCGAGATCGAATTGGTCGCGCTCCGATTTTCAAAAATCGCGCTCCCGCGCGAGACATCCTCAAAATTATCTATTTTGCGTTTTCAAAAATTGCGCTCCCGCGCGAGACAATTCGATTTTTTTGGCGTTTTGATCATTTTGGTATCTTCAAAAAACGCGTTCTCGCTCGAGACATCCTCGAAATTTCTTCGATTTATCTTCTCAAGAGTAAGGTTCTTGGGAGAGCGTTTTGGTATAGGATTCGTCGGATTCGTCGTTCAAATTTTGATCGTTTAAGGAACGATTTCTATACCAATTCTATACCAAACTGCTTCGCTCAAGGTCGTCGCTCCCATGCGGAGCATGCTCAAAATTTTGAAGAAAATCACGCTCCCGTGCGAAGCATCCTGAAAATTTTGATTAAAATCGCGCTCCCGCGCCGAGCATCTTCAAAATTTTGATTAAAATCGCGCTCCAGTGCGGAGCATCTTCAAAATTTCGTTGTTATTTCGTTCAAAATCGCGCTCCCGTGCGAAGCATCCTCGAAATTTCATTGACTCTTCGTTCAAAATCGTGCTCCCGTGCAGAGCATCCTGAAAATTTTGAAGAAAATCGCGCTCCCGTGCGGAGCATCCTCAAAATTTCATTGAGTCTTCGTTCTTCAAGATCATGCTCCCGTGCAAAACATCCTCAAAATTCGCTTGATTTGTCATTACCTCTGTATGACTATACATACATACCTATAAATATACCTACATACATACATACATAAATACATACATACATACACACCTACATACATATATACATACATACAGACATACATACATACATACAGACATACATACATACATACATGCACACATACATACATACATACATACACTGTGGGGTCATGACGCCTACACAATCATACACACATTCACAGAAACCCATGCACATACGACGCGCGCACACACACACACACAGACACGCACACGCGGACCCTTGGACACAGAGACACACACACAGAAACATGCACACACACACATATATACACACACATACACACAGACACACTTGATCTGGTTAAATGAAAATTGTGACGTTGAAGCTCAATTTCTCTCAAATCAAAACTGGAATAATGAAAATCTCTGCTCTGAAGCCATCCCAAGTGGATGACTCTGC